CCATGGCTGCTTCCTGCCTGGGGGAATCCTTTGTTGGGAGGTGTAACAATTACAGAGTGATTTAACATCCCCCTCCCTTTTCTTTGCATAGAACACTTCCAAGTCCCTTTACATGCAGTGCACAATACCCTAAAATTTATACATTGCCAAATCACCATGGGAATGACGACTTGAAAAGATTTAATGTACAAAGTTCGCACTGTAAAAATGTGTCCTAAAATAGATAATGAATGTACTTCTTACCTTTAAAAAGTGACTGGTAGCTTGATTGGAAAATACCTTGTGGGATTTAGTGCATGGAATAGCTGTTAAAACAATTCATTGCAATATTTCCCAGAATAAATTGAACAAACTAATTATACCCTTTAGAGATCAAATGGAGAATGTGCTAATTTTAGAAGGAACAGAGCCAGGAGGTACAGGATTCCTACAATCTTTTATAGAACCTGCTATTGGAATTCTGTTATGTACAGAGCCTTGTTGGTCAAGGTCAATAAAAATTTATTTATTATTTATTTATTATTTGCTATACTTGTATACCGTCGTTTCTCAGCCTAGCCGGCGACTCAACGCGGTTTACAACAACTTATAACAAACAACAGTATACAGTTTAAAAGCATAAAAACACGATCCACAATACATATATCAATAAACAATCCAATTCATCTCTTGACTAAAATCGTGATCCAGTTTCGTCGTCCAAATTGCCAGTCCTTCAATCATTACACTTATTGCACTGAGTTAACCGAACGCCTGCTCGAACATCCAGGTTTTTAGTCTTTTCCGGAAAACCATCAATGAGGGGGCTGATCTTACCTCCATGGGGAGGGCGTTCCATAGCTGTGGGGCCACCACAGAAAAGGCCCTGTCTCTCGTCCCCGCCAGCCGCACCTGTGAAGCAGGCGGGATAGAGAGCAGGGCCCCCCCAGAAGATCTTAGGGTCCTGGTGGGCTGATAGGCTGAGATACGTTCGGATAGGTAAGTTGGGCCAGAACCGTTTAGGGCTTTAAAGGCCAGCACCAGCACTTTGAATTGAGCCCCTTTACAAGAATATTATGAGATTTTAATAAAAGTGACCACTTTATCTCACATTTCACTTAAAGATGCTGCTCAAATGTGGGATGCAGGTGTGGATTGCTTCTCAGATTTTGGTAGTGGGTTATTGAATCTAGGTAAAGGTTTTCCCCTGACATTAAGTCCAGTCGTGTCGACTCTGGGGATTGGTGCTCATCTCCATTTCTAAGCCAAAGAGCCGGCGTTGTCCGTAGACACCTCCAAGGTCATGTGGCCTGCATGACTGCATGCAGCGCCATTATTGAATCTACCATCAATAATAAGGGAGACCCCAGTGGCACAGTAGGTTAAACCTCTGAGCTGCTGAACCTGCTAACCGAAAGGTCAGTGGTTCGAATCCAGAGAGCGGGGTGAGCTCCCTTGTTAGCCTCAGCTTGTGCCAACCTAGCAGTTTGAAAACATGCAAATGTGAGTAGATCAATAGGTACTGCTCCAATGGGAAGGTAATGGCGCTCCATGCAGTCATGTCGGCCACATGACCTAGAAGGTGTCTACGTACAACGCCAGCTCTTCTGTTTAGAATTGGAGATGACCACTACCCCCCAGAGTCAGACATGGCTAGACTTAATGTCAAGGGGAAAATTGTAGCAATAAAAATACACATTTTAACTCTATCTGTATTTCCTTTAAAACATAAACCATTATTATCTGGAAGAGTAGGTTCTTCTCTTAAGACATTAGGTAGATTTCACAATCTTTTGATGTTCTGTAAAAAAAAATGAAAGGATGATCCCTGGCTAACTCAAAACTACAGTTCTATGCTACACATTTAGCTCCTTTGAAGTTAATTCAGTATGGCTTTCTTCCACATAAATATGTGTAGAATTTCCAATTAAATCATTCAAAATAAGATCCACTAAATTTGGAGATATTTACTTCGGAGTAAACATGCATAGGATTAAGTTGTGGCCTAATTCAAATATGAAAAACTAGATAAATTGGGAAGAAATAATTGAAAATCTGGGTAAATCCTCCTTATTTGAAGCCTAAACTGGAGGAAAATGGAAATTTGGCAGAGCAAACGGATTGATATTTGTGATAATACAGGTTAATTATCCCTTATCCAAAGACCGCAACCGTTCTAATTTGTTATTGTACTATTTCATATTTTCTTATTGCACTTATAATATTTCTCATTGAATGCTTGGCCGCACATCCATGTCTTTAGCCTTTTCCTAAAGGTCAGGAGGGAGGAGGCTGATCTAATTTCAGTCAGGAGGGAGTTAATAGCGGAGGGGCCACCACTGAGAAGGCCCTGTCTCTCATCCCCACACACTGTGCCTGCGAATGAGGCGGGATCGAGAGCAGGGCCTCCCCAGAAGATCTTAATCTCCTTGCGAGATTGTGTTAGCTGGAATTATAGGATTCCACCTAACACAAGTGTTACTTTTTGAAACTGCTGAGTTACTATTATAACACCAAGTCAGTCCCCACAGTAGTTCCCCTGGATTCTGGCAGGAAATTGGCATTTCACACCATCTTGCTATCATGTCAACATCCATATGTGTGAAGGGAGGACTAGAACCATGTGTTACTTGTCCTCCATTTTGTATGCTCACACACCTGTGCAACTGTAAAAACTGGAAAAAATACCCTTGGCATTACAGTTACACTGCAAATAAACTTTTTTTTTCATTTTTAAAAGTCCAAGCAATGATAAAACTGCAAAATAAGCTATTAAATACAAGTAACTCTTTACATCCAAGCTCTGACTAACATTGCAACTAATTGCAGCTTTCCCACAGCAATTTATAAAGTTTCTGCTCTAATGGCTTGGCATCAGTGGATTAAAATCTTTCTTCCCTAGGAAACCCTCTGGGCTATGAATGATTGTTTCTTGTTGAATTGTTTTAACTTGCCAGAAGCTGTCTGATTAAATTATTTTCTGCACCTTTGTCTAACATTCTTTCATTTCAGGATTTTCTTTCCACTTTCTGTGTTGTTGCTCCTTTAAAAAGTACTTGTTTTAAATTTATTTTTGTTGCCCAACATTAGGAAAGAGAGTTTTAAAAACAGAAGTAAGCAACTGTCAATGTTTGAGGGCCATATGATATTTGAGTAGACTTCTGCAACTAATGCTATACCCAAGTGTTTCTCAACCTGGGGGTCGGAACCCCTGGTGGGGGTCTCAAGGGGGGGGGGGTCGGGGGTTGCCAAAGACTATCAGAAAATACAGTATTTTCTGTTGGTCATGGGGGTTTGGTGTGGGAAGTTTGGCCCAATTCTGTCATTGGTGGGGTTTAGAATGCGTTTTGATTGTAGGTGAACTATAAATCCCAGCAACAACAACTCCCAAATTTCATGTCTGTTTTCCCAAAATTCTACCACAAACTCCAACAATGTTCACATTTTGGCAGATTGAGTATTTGTGCCATTTGGTCCAGATCCATCATTGTTTGAGTCCATAGTTCTCTCCAAAACTCAAGGTCAATGCCCACCAAACCCTTCCAGTATTTTCTGTTGGTCATGGGAGTTCTGTGTGCCAAGTTTGTTCAATTCCATTGTTGGTGGAGTTAAGAATGCTCTTTGATTGTATGTTAACTATAAATAGCAGCTACAACTCCCAAATGACAAAATCAACCCCTCTCCCCAACTCCACCAGTATTCAGATTTGGGCTTATTGGGTATTTATTCCAAATTTGGTCCAGTGAATGAAAATACATCCTGCATATCAGATATTTACATTACAATGCACAACAGTAGCAAAATTGTAGCATCAAGTAGCAGCGAAAATAATTTTATGGTTGGGGTTCAGCACAACATGAGGAACTGTATTAAGGGGTCGCGGTATTAGGAAGGTCGAGAATTGTTGCTATACCGCTGCAAAACATGTATCCAAATGGTCTCCTGCTATAAATATTTGAAATTAATTCATGAATAGTTACATAAAGCCCAGGCAGAAAGCTTAAGAAGCCCCAGAATCCGCCACCCAGTTTATACAACGGCCAGACTGTATAGTGCAGTGCTTCTCAACCTTCCTAATGCCGCGACCCCTTAGTCCAGGTCCTCATGTGGTGGTGACCCCCAACCATAATGTTATTTTCGTTGCTACTTCACAACTGTAATTTTGCTACTGTGATGATTTGTAATCTGATATGCAGGATGTATTTTCAGTCACTGGAACAAATTTGACACAAATACCCAATACGCCCAAATTTGAATACTGGTGAGGTTGGGGGTGATTGCTTTCGTCATTTGGGAATGCTGGAGTTGCTGGGATTTATAGTTCAACTCAAATCAAAGAGCCTTCTGAACTCCACCAATGATGGAATTGAATCAAACTTGGCACACAGAATTCCCATGACCAAGAGAAAATACTGGGAAGTCTGGTGGACATTGACCTTGAGTTTTTGGAGTTGTAGTTCACCTACATCCAGAGAACACTGTGGACTCAAGCAATGATGGATCTGGATCAAACTTGGCACAAATACTCAATATGCCCAAATGTGAACACTGGTAGAGTTTGGAGAAAATAGACCTTGCCATTTGGGAGTTGTAGTTGTTGGGATTTATAGTTCACCCACAATGAAATAGCATTCTGAACCCCACTGATAGAATTGGACCAAACTTTCCACACAGAACCCCCATGACCAACAGAAAATACTATGTTTTCTGATGGTCTTTGGTGACCCCTCTGACACCCCCTCGCGACCCCCATGGGGGTCCCGACCCCCAGGTTGAGAAACACTGGTATAGTGGATGCTGGGGCTTTTAGTTAAACATTTCTCAGTGTATTCTTCATTTTGTAAAACAGGAAGAGATCAGGTCATGAATTTTGTGGTACAGAGAACTACACATTTTGACTACAAAAGGAAGTGCTTTGTATCAGCAGTCTGAGCTGTTGGAACCTTTATTAGAAAATAGAAAATGATAACACGATGGTAATTAAAATGAGAAAATAAGGATATCAACTCTTGTTCTTCCAGAATCTTACAGATATGCCACCTCAGGAAATATCCATCAGGAACTCCACCTCCACTCTTCGGATGAAGTATCCCACACAAGTAAGCAAAACCAGAGAAATAAGATGTCCCCATTTATAATTGCTGCTAATTTCTCAATGTCTCTCTGTCTCTGTTCTTTTTTGTTGTTGTTAAGCTCAACTATATTGGCAAAATTTTCCTTCCTCCTCCAGCAGGAGTAATCTCATGCATGAAACAGCCAGGAAAGGGGTTGGAGAGGTTTTTATACAATTATACCACAATTATTCTATTTTGTGCCATGGTTCTGTCCTATGCAGTTGTGAGATTTTTCACTTTTTAGAAAGAGTGTTCAGAGTTGTGAGCTAGAGAACTCCATTACTCCAGCAGATTACGCCCCAGGAGAACATAGCATCTAGCAATGGTGCTTACTGTAAAATCAAAGCACTACAGTACAGCTGGCTTCCTCACTCACAGATTCCACCACCACAGCTTTAAATTGATTTTCAAAAATACAGAAAGTAATTCTTGATTTCGTTATTTTAGGTAAGTCACACCTTTCAGTACATCAAAAACAAGTCATGCCAGACTAATCTGATCTTGTTTCAATAAAGTTACAAGCTGGGTAAATGTAGGGAACGCTGTGAATGTAGTGTATCTGGATTTCAATAAGGCCTTCGACAAGGTCCCCCATGACCTTCTGTCAAACAAACTAGTCCAATGTGGGCTAGGCAAAAACTGTGGTTTGGTTGATCTGTAATTGGTTAAGCGAACGAACCCAGAGGGTGCTCACCATTGCTTCATTTCCATCCTGGAAAGACGTGATGGGCAGAGTGCTGCAGGGCTCCGTCCTGGGCCCAGTTCTATTCAAGTTCTTTATTAATGACTTAGTTGAAAGGTTAGAAGGCATGATCATCAAGTTTGCAGATGACACCAAATTGGGAGGGATAGCCAATACTCCATAAGACAGAAGCAGGATTCAAAATGATCTTAACAGATTAGAGAGATGGGCCAAAACTAACAAAATGAAGTTCAACAGTGACAAATGCAAGACACTCCACTTAGGCAGAAAAAATGAAATACAAAGATGCAGAATGGGGGAGGCGTGGCTTGAGAACAGTACGTGTGAACTCATGGACAACAAGGTAAACATTAGCCAACAATGTCATGTGGCGGCAAAAAAAAGACACATGGGATTTTGGCCTTCATAAATAGGAGTCTAGTATCTAGGTCCAGGGAAGTCATGCTACCCCTCTATTCTGGCCTTGGTTAGACCACATCTGGAATACTGTGTACAATTCTGGACACCACAATTGAAGGGAGATATTGACAAGCTAGAATGTGTACAGAGGAGGGCAACTAAAATGATCAAGGGTCTGGAGAACAAGCCCTATGAGGAGCGGCTTAAAGAGCTGGGCATGTTTAACCTGCAGACGAGAAGACTGTGGGATTTTCTGCCTTGATATTCTGGGTTAGATGGCTGTGTGGGAGGGCTCTGGGACTTGAGCATCCACAGGGGATCCTGGAACCAAACCCCAGCAGATAGTTTCATGGAAGTGTGAAACAACTCCAGGTCAGTTTCAAAGTTTGCAAGATATAGATATTGATATGGTTGTCTTGTATCGAGAATCTCTCATAATGCGTTTTGTCTGCATGTATTAAGTGCTTGATAGAACTAGTTCTCTCGGCATTGCACAGCATCAAAATCATAACAATGGGACAAAAGGAATCACAAGCCTAAAAATCGGTTGTTCATTCCTGCTAGAGAAGTTCCAACACATCAATCAGACTTATATAAGCACTGGCTTATCATGTTGTCATTGATTTAATGGGGTTACTCTTCTTAGAACAAACAGTTGGATTTAGGTCATAATAAATAACTAAGAACCAGTGCAGCATAAACCCATGACAAGCACATTCCACAAACTGCAAAGCAAAACAAAATCTAAAACTGCCCCAGAGGAAAAAGGACTTGAATGTTTTTGGAGAGATCTAGACTGCTTAAAATATTTATAATGTTTGGGAGAAGGAAAAGTTTGGGAGCTGGTGCCACAAATGTGAATAGCAGGCAAGCTTTCTTGCAGAAAACATTCCAGGATGCTGAGTCATCGTGCAAAAAGTTGTTTCTTTTGCCACCATTTTACCTGATGTTTCTAAGGATAACTTTAAGACTTTAATTTTTCATACCCTGATTGTTGTTTTTAGGAGCTGTAAGTTTAAATAGAGACAGTCCCAGAGTTACAAACACCTAACTTACATGAAACTTATAGTTAAGAACAGGACAACAAGAAGTAAGAGAAATCTACCCCTAGGAAGGTAAATTCACTCCTGGAAGAGTCTCCGCTGAAGCTTTATCACCCTCCTTGTTTCCACAACAAGCCAACATATTCAAAATCGAATTGTCACAGGGACAGAAAGTGCAGTGAAATCTTCTGAACAGGAGCACAGACATCAAAACAAACACCACAGAGGTGTTAACCTTTCCCTATGCTTTCCAAAACACATATAACCAGGCAAGAATCAATCAGGGCCAGCTATCACTTCCTAACAAAGGATTCTCCTAGGCAGCAGCCAGCCAGCCTTTGAAGCTACAAGGCCATTCAGTGCTAATCAAGGTGGCCAGTTGCAACATTCACATATACCTCAAGCAGTCAAGAGTTCTTTCTCCTGCCCTGGACATTCCACAGATATATGAACCCCACTTTCCTAGTTTCCAACAGACCTCACAACCTCTGAGGATGCCTGCCATAGATGTGGATGAAACATCAGGAGAGTATGCTTCTGGAACATGGCCATACAACCCAGAAAACTCACAGCAACCCAGTGATTCCTGCCATGAAAGCCTTCAACAACACATAGAACCTATCTTGCTTGTAACTGGAGGACCAAAGTGGCTTAGAAGGAACTACTCATTGAACTTTACCCTTGCTTCTAATACACTACAACTTCCTTATCCACATATTCCATATTCATGGTTTCACTTGCCCTTGCTCCAAAACAGTGTTTGAAGGCCTTTCTAGATACTCCAATGCAATTCTACAGTACGTTTCCAGCTCAGGTATAGTCAAAATATAGGATTCACTATTACCTACGCCAGGGGTCCTCAAGCTTTTTAAACAGAGGGCCAGGTCACAGTCCCTCAAAACATGAAAAAAACATGAATGGATTCCTATGCACAGTGCATGTATCTTATTTGTGGTGCAAAAAAAAACCCACTTAAAAACAATACAATAATTAAAATGAAGAACAGTTTTAACAAATATAAACTTAGTAGTATTTCAGTGAAAAGTGTGGGCCTGCTTTTGGCTGATGAGATAGGATTGTTGGTTGTTGTTGTTGTTGTTGTTGTTGTTGTGTGCTTTCAAGTCACTTCAGACTTAGCTTGACCCTGAGAAATGGCTGGGTAAATGACCTTGGAGGGCCCCTGATCTATGCTTTCACGTGTCCTGAAACCTATTGTCTTGAAACCTATTACACGCGGATACGGTGGTCATACTGTACTTGAATCTGAAATCATCTACTAAATTAAGGTGGGAGATTCAGGTCAGATGAAAAGAAGCACTTCATCATATATTGCATAATTAAGCTGTGTAATTGAGTAGCATAACATGTGTTGACAATTACCAATTTGAATGATTTTAAAAAGGAATTAGACCTATGTGTGGACAATGTGACTATCATTGTTGCTACTCAGATGGCTTTACATTTCTTTCAGTATTAGAGATAACATGCCTCCTAATTGCCTGTTGCTTGGGAACATGAATAGGAGGATACATAACATTTCTGTCTTGCCTCTTGACTTTTCCTAGCAGCTTGGCTTGATTATTGTAGAAACAAATCCTGGACTAGGTAAACCTTTAGTTGGAATGAATATATCTGTTCTTATTTTCTTAAAGCCTGAGCCAACATTTATTATTACATCTCCTGAAAGAATCTCCCATGTATAAGGTCTCTCACCACTCTCTTTACACACTAGACAAGCTGTTTTCATTTTGAATCAGGATGGGCTTCCTGCTGACCCCCCAGAGGTTTAACTATATTCAGTTCTGTAATTTTTAAAAGGAAAGTGCTATTTACATTGGAGTGCTAATGTGGAGATGCCCTCCACAGGAAGCCAAACAAGCTGTGATAGTCTTAATTTTCCAGGCTGTTGACATTCTATCCTCCTTTATCCCCTGGCATTGCTGTCACTTTATTTCCTCTCTAATGGCATGAGCCACGATGTCATAATATCCAAAATCAAATGTACCAGAAAATGTAATAAATTAGAGTCAAGCTAGCAGAGTAATTGAAGAATAAAACTGAATTTTAAATAACAATTGGCTGTGTTATGGGGTAGTTTTAGATTGACTGCTGTGCGGCAACATGTGCCGGAGGTGAGAGGCACCATGTGATTTCTCTGTAGATGACAAAGAAGCGGAGGAGTCATGCCAAGTGAGGAAATAATGAGGGGAGAATAGCTTGATCCAGTAGAGCAGGAACATAGCACTGTGACAGGATAACAATACCACATTTGTTGCCGTTCAGATTTCATAATAGCATTTTATATAGCATGTCTCAAGTGTTCTCAGTCTTTCGCTGATATAATCTCTCGGATGCAGTACTATTTGTGGAAAATGAAGTTTGTGGAAGAGAGATGCATTTCTGTTGATGCCAGGTACATCAGATGTGGGCAGACTTCAGGCTCGTGGAATCTTTTTTGGGTTTTGTTTTATCCTCTAGAGGTCCACTGATAGGAGTGTGATGTAAAAGTCACGTTGTTATGTTTAAATCAGTGGTTCCCAGCCTTTTTTTGACCAGGGACCATTTTCCAACATTAGTACCAAAAGGGTTACGAATCAGTTTTTGGCCCATTTTAGATTCTATTTGGTTATTTGGTGTGCTGATTCAGAAAACTGCATTGGACAGACCACATCAGCTCTAGTTTCTGATAAAGAACATATGCCATTCAGTAGTCTCCATCACCTTGCCCACAGAAAACCATATTTAATAAGCTAGAGCTAATGTTGTAGTAGTAATATTTCATGGGTAGTCAGCCTCTCGCCTCCCTACATCCTCGTTGCTTTGGCACTATAAGAGGGTTT